CGGCCAGAATACATACCTGTTATTGATGATGGTACAATTGGGGCAGAATACATACCTGTTATTATGATGGTACAATTGGGCCAGAATACATGCCTGTTATTGATGATGGTACAATTGGGCTGAAATACATCATCATCATCAGTGTCCATACCTCTTATTGATGATGGTACAATTGGGCCAGAATATATACCTGTTATTGATGATGGTATAATTGGGCCAGAATACATACCAGTTATTGATGATGGTACAATTGGGCCAGAATGCATACCAGTTATTGATGATGGTACAATTCGGCCAGAATACATACCTTACCTGTTATTGATGATGGTACAATTGGGCTGAAATACATCATCATCATCAGTGTCCATACCTCTTATTGATGATGGTACAATTGGGCCAGAATACATACCTGTTATTTATGATGGTACAATTTGCCAGAATACATACCTGTTATTGATGATGGTACAATTGGGCTGAAATACATCATCATCATCAGTGTCCATACTATCTAACTTGCAGTCTGGAACCAAGTAACGTCGGTCACCCTCCCGTGACCTGCGACTTTTCCAGCTGTTCCTACTTCCATAACTCTGTGAACGTCGCAAACATGGTGATACCCTTGGAGAGAGGCGTGGTGAAGAACGCACACTTAAGTTTGTCTAAAATTTCAAATGAAATACCTGATTTATTTTAGTTGAATTTCATTAATAATACCCTAGTTTGGTTCTGTTACATATAATATCTAATTGTTTTGTTCCTGAATAGATCAGAAACAAACACGTTATAATTCTAAATAAACAACAGACCTAAGGGGCCTGAAGATACTCCTCTATTTTAACTCTTCTGTACTGTTGTTGTACAGAAGACAAAATATGTGCTTCCTGGTCCCCGTTGTTGTGTACATCCCTGTTGTAGTTTCAGCCTGTCAAAGGGGTCAGCCACTTCTTCTTTTCAAATCTAACCCATTATCACCATGATATACCTACTACCAAATTTGGTTGTAATTAGCCCAGTGGATTTTGAGAAGAAGGTTCAAAGAATATTTTATGGATGGAGAACGGAGGACAACGGATCCAAATAACTCACTTGTTCTTTCAAAGGACCCATGCACTCAGAAAAAGATTTGCAATTCTGGTCTACATGACATATACTTAAAGCTTTACTCTAAACCTAGCAAATGTTTACTTCTGAGTCTGGCTAGCACCAAAAGTTGACCTTTGACTAAAACACAACAGACTCAATGACCTTGTAAAACTCACCAGTTATTTATCTCATATCTGTGACCTTCATAGGAGGCCAGGGTCAGTTTTGAATAACTCTACAAATAACGAATTTTTAAGGGAATATTTATTACACTACACCTTATGAATTTTTGTTGGATTATAAATTATTCTACAAATGTTATTTTCAATTTGATCATTGGAATGCCACACTTCATAGTACTTCCCACCATTTAACTACTTGTCAAACATTATCATCTTTTAGGGTTACTAGTTATTTACAAGAAGTCCTTTAAAGACTTATACACATTTGACCCCTAAAACTTAAAAGCAGGTCAAGGTCACTGCACTGGAACAATTGATAGTCCTCTATTATTCAGAGTTTGTTCTCAGTGGAAGTGTTTTTATGTACTTTAAATATGGCAATTTTATCTCTGGATATGCTAGTGTGTTTTTTTGATAACACAATAGTGTGAATATTATACACACATGAAAAAAATTATGTATAAAGTAAACATATTATAGATGAAAAAATATATAGATTTAAGCATGACCCTTCCTGTGTTAAAAATGATAATTCCCACCACAGGCAAAAACATAATCAATTATTTATTGACAAATTAGTGTTGACAGCCGCTACACCATATATGAAAAGCTCACAGACACTTGGTGTCAGGTGAGCTAAACATATTTAGATAAATAAATGATTTCACATGTCAATTATGAAAGAAAGAGATTCAAAGAGTTGTATTAGGATGATACTGACAGAGGAGGACTTGGAAGATGTTGATCCCCGAGGAGGATGGACACTGAGGGTGACCTTGTTATACTCCTTTGATCCGTGTTCGTTAGGGGAGCCCTGGGGGGTCGGCATGGGTGTGGCAGCTGTGTGGGTGATGATAGGTGGGTTCATGTCAGGAGCTGGAGCACATTTTACTTTGTTCTCTTCTTTAATAATGGTCACAGGACACATTGCTAACATTTTCTCTGAAAAAATAAATAAATTCATTTAATGATAGAATGGATGGCTCGCATAAATAACAAGAGGCCATGGGCCTTACCGGTCACCCAAGTTCTGATATATTTATACAGAGAGTTGATTTTTGTTTTTAAAACATGAACAGAAGTATTATTCAAAGTGACAAAAAACCATTAAACAACCTCATTCAATATCTAGCATACAGATTTAAGACTGAAAAGTATTTGAAACTAGCATCTCTGATTCTAAACAAGGAAAATGAAGAAATTTTAGCACACTAACTCCTTTGGGTGCCCTTGGGGGTAGAACTGGCTCAAAATGNGGGGTAAACGTTAGACCCTAGGGTCATACAATTCACAATTTTGGTAGAGCACCTTAAAACCCTTCCATCTCTGAAGAGTATTTGATTCTACCATATCTGGGTCTTGAGAAGAAGATTTAGAAATTTCAGTCAATTCGACCCTTTTTGGCCCAACCCATCAGCCCCTGGGGGTAAGTCAGGGCTGATATGTGCATACAATCAAACTGCTATCCAATACTGACAATGCTTACCCAAATTGAACTACTTCCAATGGAAATTAAACAAATGTTGGTCCAAAATGTGATTTCACTATATAAACTATAGTAAAGTTTACCCCCTCCCCAGGGGAAAACCTGAGACCCCAGGGTCTTGAAATTCACAATTTTGGTTGAGCAACTTAAGACCCTTCCTTATATGAAGAGTATTTGATTCTACCATATCTGGGTCTTGAGAAAAAGTTTTTTGAAATTTTAGTCAATTTGACCCTTTTTGGCCCCTCCTTTTAGGCCCCTGGGGGCTGGGGACCATATCCTCCAATGAGGTAAACTGACTTCGACCTGTGTATATCATAACCTTACCCTGTAAGGTACACTGAACTTGTACTGTGTGTATGATATATTATAACCTAACCCTGTAAGGTACACTGACCTTGTCCTGTCTGTATGATATGATGACCTTACCCTGTGAGGTAAACTGACCTTGTCCTGACTGTATGATATGAAAACCTTACCCTGTGAGGTACACTGACCTTGTCCTGTCTGTATGATATGAAAACCTTACCCTGTGAGGTACATTGACCTTGTCCTGTCTGTATGATATGAAATCCTTACCCTGTGAGGTACACTGACCTTGTCCTGTCTGTATGATATCATGACCTTACCCTGTGAGGTACGTATACACTGACCTTGTCCTGTCTGTATGATATGAAAACCTTACCCTGTGAGGTATACTGACCTTGTCCTGTATGTATGATATGATGACTTTACCCTGTGGGGTGCACTGACCTTGTCCTGTGTGTATGATATGAATACCTTGTCCTGTGTGTATGATATGAAAACTTTACCCTGTAAGGGACACTGAACTTGTACTGTGTGTATGATATATTATAACCTAACCCTGTAAGGTACACTGACCGTGTCCTGTGTGTATGATGTGATGACCTTACCCTGTGAGGTATACTGACCTTGTCCTGTGTGTATGATATGATGACTTTACCCTGTGGGGTACACTGACCTTGTCCTGTGTGTATGATATGATGACCTTACCCTGTAAGGTACACTGACCTTGTCCTGCGTGTATGATATGATGACCTTACCCTGTAAGGTACACTGACCTTGTCCTGTGTGATGATGTGATGACCTTACCCTGTGAGGTATACTGACCTTGTCCTGTATGTATGATATGATGACTTTACCCTGTGGGGTACACTGACCTTGCCCTGTGTGTATGATATGATGACCTTACCCTGTAAGGTACACTGACCTTGTCCTGTGTGATGATGTGATGACCTTACCCTGTGAGGTATACTGACCTTGTCCTGTATGTATGATATGATGACTTTACCCTGTGGGGTACACTGACCTTGCCCTGTGTGTATGATATGATGACTTTACCCTGTGGGGTACACTGACCTTGCCCTGTGTGTATGATATGATGACTTTACCCTGTGGGGTGCACTGACCTTGTCCTGTGTGTATGATATGATGACCTTGCCCTGTAAGGTACATTGACCTTGTCCTGTGTGTATGATATGATGACCTTGCCCTGTAAGGTACATTGACCTTGTCCTGTGTGTATGATATGATGACCTTACCCTGTGAGGTACACTGACCTTGTCCTGTGTGTATGAAATGATGACCTTATCCTGTAAGTTACACTGACCTTGTCCTGTGTGTATGATATGATAACCTTACCCTGTAAGGTACACTGACCTTGTCCTGCGTGTATGATATGATGACCTTACCCTGTAAGGTACACTGACCTTGTCCTGTGTGATGATGTGATGACCTTACCCTGTGAGGTATACTGACCTTGTCCTGTATGTATGATATGATGACTTTACCCTGTGGGGTACACTGGCCTTGTCCTGTGTGTATGATATGATGACCTTACCATGTAGGGTACACTGACCTTGTCCTGTGTGTATGATATGATGACCTTACCATGTAGGGTACACTGACCTTGTCCTGTGTGTATGATATGATGACCTTACCCTGTGGGGTACACTGACCTTGTCCTATCTGTATGATATGATGACCTTACCCTGTGATGTACACTGACCTTGTCCTGTGTGAATGATATGATGACCTTACCCTGTGAGGTACACTGACTTTGTCCTGTGTGTATGATATGATGATCTTACCCTGTGGGGTACACTGACCTTGTCCTGTCTGTATGATATG